TTGTTGTTAATAGAGGTTTTCAAGATATTGAGAGGATTTGATAGATTGAACCGGGAAAAACTGTTTCCACTGGCATGTGGGTCAGTAACCCGAGGACACCAATTTAAGATAGTTGTTAAAAGAAACAGAGAGGAGGTTAAGAATTTTTTTTCACCCAGCGAGTTAATAATATTAATAATAAAAATGCTTGCATTTGATATAGCGCTTTTCACGTCTTCTAGACATCTCAAAGCGCTTCACAGAATAGACTGTAAAGTGAATTGACTGTATATTTGTGGGCCAATTGCGCACAGCAGTGTTCCACAAACAGTCATGGATTGAAAATGACTAATTTATTATTGTTTTGTTTTGGAGGCATTATTATGTGGATTTATTATTATTAATTATTTAATAATTATTATTTATTATTAGGAGTTGTTCGGATCTGGAATGCATTATCTGAAAGGGTAGTGGAAGCCGATTCAATAACAACTTTTAAGAGAGAAGTAGATGAGTATTTGGGGAGGACAGCATACAGGGCTATGGAGAGAAAGCGGGCCAGTGGGATTGAGTTGGATTGCTCTTTTAGGAGCCGGCGCAGACACGATGGGCTGAATGGCCTGTTTCTGTTCTGTATGATTCTATGATTCTATGACTGCTGATTTATCAAAGCGTCATGGACGACAGTCAAATGTTGGAATATTCAGGGACTAATTCTCAGCATGTTACATACATAACAGGCAAAGATCTGCAAATACCTAAAACTGCATCACCAACGCTTCAATCGACCATCTCAAAAGAAAAAGATTTACTTCACTGGAAAAATATATTTGCCGAAAGATGTAATGAAGTTGTTATTCCGCTCACCAAGTCCATTCAGTAACATCAAAACAGAAATTCTATTCAAGCTTTTGGATCTTTGCCATTTATGGCAAGCGAGAGCACGTTCATGTTTGCTATTCAAGTGACATTTTCAGCATCTTAATGATTTATTCTATCAATTTACTGGTTAGAAGTTTTAATAGATTACTTTTGGTGTACATTGTGGTTAGGGGCTGCTACAAAGTATGGTTATCACTTGTTTACAGGTAGATTCCCCTATTACTTCTCAGTAGTGCTGAATTAATATGCAGTATCTATATTCTTTCCTACAAGGGTGGAGAGTAAGCAGTGCAACTTAAATCAATATTGTCTTTTCTTTGATTTACACTGCTAATGCAATATTTCCTTTGTGGTAAATACAGTATTAGATGAGGTAGATAAGTAGTATAATACTGAAAGCCACTGTGATACACATAGACGTGTAAAATCTGATCCATGCATTTATAGTACACTGCAAAAATAAAGGGTTTCTTTCATTGTTTTGGCATTATATTACATAAAATTACATAGAATGATACGTCAGAGAAACAGGCCATTTGACCTAATGTGTTTAAACTCCTCACAAGTCCCCACCCTGCCCCTATACCTTTTTTCCTTTCCCCTCGTGTATGTGTCAAGTGTCCTCCTAAACTGATGCTTTTTGTTTCAACCCCAGCTACAATAGTGAGTTTCCCATTCTCAACACTTTCCAGGTGAAGATGTTCCTCCTAAACTCTTTCAGACCTGTTATGAGCTATGTAACTCTTATGTTCCCTTGTTTTGGACTCACCAATGAGTGGAAACTGCCAATCTAACTTCCAGTCAATCAAGTGCTTTCATAATCTTAAACACCTCTTTCAGGTCCCCACTCAATAGTCTCATCTCTGGAGAGAAAAGCTCCAACCTGTCCAATCTTTCTTAATAGTTGTATCCACTTATCCCTGGTAACATCCACACTGCATTCTTCCCAATACTGTCCATCTCTGTGGCATCTGTATTTTTGCTCTGCCCACACAGAACCATAGAAATCCACATCATAGAAGGTGGCCATTTGGTACATCATGTTTGTGCCGACTCCCTCAAGAGCAACCCTTTCAGTCTCATTAATCTGCCCTTTCCCCATACCCCTTTATTTGTCAGGTAGTTCTTGAAGGCCAATATGCATTTTACCTCAACTACTGCTCCTGGCAGGGCATTCTATATCCTAACTATTCTGTATGTGAAGAAATTGGGAGCAAGTGGAGCCTGGCAAGGACTGATGCAAGGATCGTCGTGGCAAACGGTTTCTTCTCCAACCCCCGCACCGTCTTGTGCAGTGTCCCTCAGGGCTCTGTCCTCGGTCCCCTCCTCTTCAACCTCTACATGCTCCCCCTTGGCAACGTCATCCACAGACACGGGGTAAATTTCCACATGTATACGGATGACACCCAACTCTACTTCTCTGCCTCCACCCTGAACTCCAGGACTACTGAGGTCCTGACTGACTGCCTGTCCGACATCAAGTCCTGGACGAGGGCCAACTTTCTCAACTGAACGTCAGCAAGACTGAGGCCCTCCTGATTGGCTTGCGCCAGCGCCTTCGCACCTCAGGCGCTGGCAGCATCTGCCTCCACGGCTGCACACTCAACCTCACTAACCCAGTCAGGAATCTGGGTGTCTTGTTTGACCCTGAATTGTCCTTTCTCCCCTACATCCGCACCATGACTGGCACTGCCTACCACCACATTCACAACATTGCCAGACTCCGCCACGGCCTCACCCACGCATTCGTCCTCACCTCAAGGCTGATTACGGGAACTCCCTCCTCATCAGCCTTCCCAACTCTTCCCTTCATAAGCTGCAGATCATCTAAAACTCTGCAGCTCGTGTACGCTCATGCACCAGACTCTGTGACCCCATCACTCCCACCCTCACCCGACTCCACTGGCTCCCCATCCCCCAGAGGATTGAGTACAAAATCCTCATCCTCACCTTCAAGGCCATCCATGGCCTTGCCTCCTCCTACCTCTCTGACCTGCTGACTCCCTACCAACCTGCCCGCTCCCTCCGTTCATCAGGCTCCGGCCTGCTCCATGTCTACCGCCCGACCCACCCTACCATCGGTGGCCGGGCTTTCAGCCTCTCTGCCCCCACAATCTAGAACTCCATCCTACGGTCCCTTCGCCTCACTTCCTCCCTCGCATCTTTCAAGGCCAGTCTCAAGACCCTTCTCTTCGACCGTGCCTTTAGTCTCCCTCCCACCTCTCTGCCTTCCCTCACCCCTACACCACTCCTCCTCCATTCTCAGGCCCCGACAGCTGACTGTTCAGTGCTTTGGGACGTGAAAGGCACTCTATAAATGTAATTTTGTTGTTGTTGTTGATGTGATGGAAATACAGTTTTGTGTGGGAATATCCGAGCAGAGTTTTGAAATAATTGAATTTTGTGTATGGTGGAGCTGGGAAGACCAGTGAGGAGCGCATTGGAATAGTCCAACCGGGATGTGCCAAAAACGTGGATGAGGGTTTTGCTGTGTCAGTTATGAGATACGGACAGTCGGGCAATGTGACGGAGGTGGAAAAAAGTGGTCCTGGACAGGGAACTGATGTGGAGTAGAAAGCTTGGGATCGGCCTGATGCCAAGTAAAGATCTTCTGCATCCCTTTGACTACTTTCCTAAAATTGGGTGACTAATATTGGATGCAACATTCTAACTGCCACTTAACTAATGATTTATATACATTTAGTATCACCTTTACTTTTATATTCTATTCTATACCCTATTTAAAAAGCTAAGATTCCATTAGCTTTTTTTGATAGCTTTGTCCACCTGCCTTCCCACCGGTAAGGATTTATGAACATTCGCCCAAAAAATAGTCAATTCACTTTATAGTATATTCTGTGAATATTTTGAGATGTCTCGAACACTATAAGATGCTGTATCAAATGCAAGGATTATTATTATTACATTAACCAATGCAAGGATTATTATTATTACATTAACCCCCAAGTCTCTTTGCTCTTCCACTCTTTTCAATATCTTACCGCAACATATACCTGTTCTCCTGATTTGAAGATGTATAATCTCACATTTGTCCACATTAAATTAGCCATTTCCCAATCAACTAATCTGTCTACGTCCTCCTGAATTTGCTTATAATTAGAATCTTATTCATTGTTAACTACATTCCCCATTTGCCTACATTACTGCTCTGCCCACCTCCATGGCACCTTTCATTACTGCTTTGTATACCCTATGTCATCATCGGGTTATAAATCAAACAGCAGGAGATTCTGGAGCTGGCACGCAAACAAAATCAATAGCTGAAAAGGAACTGTGACTTGCTCAGTTGGAAATGGCAGGTTAATAATAATATCCTTGAATTTGACATAGTGCCTTATCACATCTTCGAGATGTCTAAAAGCGCTTCACAGAAAATGCTGAAAGTGAATTGACTGTATATTTTGTGGGTGAAAAGTTAAACGTATAGGGGTTACAAATATTCTTTGTAAGGGGATTACCTGAGAATGGGAAGATTGCTTTGTAATTGAATTTTTGTCTCGTGTTTGCCTTGTCGTGGGAAACAAACTCAGTCAGATGTTCTTTGAACCTTCTAAACAATCATAGAAATAACTGACTCGTCAGACTGTAAAAAGGTAAAGCAGGTGGGTGGGGGGTTGGAAGTTTCTCCATCTACTGTGGTGCTTGAGTAAGAAAACTTCAGTTTTCAGAGTGAAGAATACAGATATTTTAATAATCATCTTAGGATCAATTATTGATCAATTATTGAGTGAAAGAGCGAAATAAGAACGAGGACAGGTTCAGGCATGTTCATTACGGTGACTGAATAGCTATCCAACACCCATGGTCAAAGCTCACTCATAAATAATGCACACTTGGCGAGAAACACCTTGAAACCAGACCCTCGTGGAAGGAAAATGGAGTTAAATACCTTCACAGGATGGGAAAAAAATGGTGAATTTATGAACTGGGATTTCGTTGATACAACGTTAAAGAAAGTAGTTTACAAGAATAAAAACATGCTTTGAAATGATTGCACGAATTTCTTGAAGTAAATCGGGAATAACTTTTGCTACTTAAAGAATACCTGTGCAGTTTAGTCTCTATCACCAAATTAAAAGCTCTCTTTCCACTTTAATCACCAAAGAAACACACCGATCCAAAGTTTAAACACACTTTAATGAAAGCTATAAAGCTCAAGTTAGAGCCTGATCCATACAAAATGTTAACGGAAATGAAATTCAGTCTATAAATCACATCACAGACACATTATAAACGATTGAATCTTATTCCGTGTGCAGAGATAAAGCTACAATTCAACAAACTTTTTTTTAATATTGTTGTTCTAATTATTTTGAGTCCATGAAGAAGGTTTCAAAGTTAAAATCCAGGTCCAACACCAAGGCATCAACAAAATCATCCATTGACGGCCTCTCCTGAAGCATGCCTGAAACGAGAAACTCTAATTAATGATTTACTCAACATTTTATTCATAATACCTTTAAAATAATCTCCAGCATAAATCATTTTCTTTGAAGATCAACTTGAGCTGTGCAAGGGCTTATTTATCAAATGCAATTTCATCCTTGATTAATCACTTCTCTGTTACCATTAAACTTTCCCCCTTTGGCACAGTTTACATTCTTTTTGACATCATCAGCATCTGGCTGTAAAGGATAATGATTCTGAATAACTACTTGGATATGAGTGCTTTTATAAGAGATCATAAAGCATAAGTCAACCTGTAAAACAGAAATCATTGTAGTGGAGTTCACTTAAGGTCTGAGAAGATCAAATTCTACTTTAGATCAAAGATTCTGTCTGCCAACTCGCTTCACTACAACACACTCAGTCTCGCGATACAGATCAATCTTAAAACATGAAAAGGCTTCCCAAGGTCACCGAAGATCAGCTTCCCAAAGTCAGGAAAGATCAAACCCTTGGACACCCTCGTCACAACACAGTAATTGGTTCCCCACTCAGACACTGTAGTGTAGAATCTTTACAGCTGTGAGTCAGGTCTTACTTACATGTCTGATCAGTTCACATTCCAAAACAAAGATAAAGCTACTGCTTGTTCCAGAGGTGCTGAAACCAATGAACATTAAACAACAAAATCGATGTTCCTTCAATTTCACTGCCTGAACCCCACAGAGCATTTTCACATAATCAATGCTAAATTCTAGTTCCCCATCAATTTGCAAAAAACTCCTGACCGAAAGCAATAAGATCACAATGGATGAAGGTGCCATGTAATAATAAGTCTTGCATTTGATATAGCGCTTTTCACATCTTCTAGACACCACAAAGCACTTCACAGAATGTACTGTAAAATGAATTGACTGTATATTTGTGGGTGAAATGCAGTAGCCAATCGCACACAGCAGTGTCCCGCAAACAATTGTGAAATGAGTGACCAAATAATTTTTGTTTTTTTTGAGGAATTATTATCCCCAAAAACGTGATCCGCCAATCGACTAACAACTGGGTTTCCACTTACTGCTGGGTAAACAGAGGTGTGTGGAATAATGAAACTTGCCCAACATTTTGCCCTGCCGGGAATCGAGCCCGGGTCTCTCGCTTGCGAGGCGAGTGGTCTAACCATCGAGCTACAGGACTCCACGACACTACCACTTGTACAGAGATACTCGGAGCAAAAAAATCCCAGGTTCAATCCCCAGATGCGGAGTTAGACAATCTAAACAATATTCTCCTGCTCCATTTGCAAACCAGTTCCTTTGCCTGTCAGATTGTCTATTCCGGCTGACTTGGCACCAAGAGTTACAATTTAAATGATTCTTATCAAGAAAAATGCTTCTTCAAAAGTATCTCATTTGATACAAATACAAGTGGAAACATTCCATTCCTTTATATTGTTGCAATATTTTATTGCCTAAAGTCCTTCTCCTACATCATGAAAAAGTGCAAACAAGGTTTGTCCACACGAAAACCCAGGTTATTAATTTGTCTGAAAGGTCAGCCTGGAGTCAGGTCATTCAGATAGGCCATTGGTATTTCATTCCATACAGTCTGCATTAAGTGAGCTATTAAGTGGGAAATATCCGCCCAACAGATTTATTATACAATAAAAAAATACAGTTCCATTTTGTGCTGTTCATTATCTACTTCATATGAAACGTAACAGCAAGCAATTAGAAAGAAAGCATGTCAAATACTTATCAGCGGCTAAATCCATCAATGTTTATTCTAAAAGCTTTCAGCGAAGTTTACATCCATCATACAAACCCTTAGCTTGCCAAATTGTTTATGGCCCATTGATGAATGCACCTCTTAACTAACACTTTATTACATTTGTCAAAAAATCTTTTACAAGTAGATTTTTCAAACATCGGCTGGGTACAAATTTAAGACGATCACAAACAAATATGTAAGCGGAGGTCAGAAAAGATTTCTTTACAAGGGGGGTGGTTGGAATGTGAAATTTTCTGGCAGAATCCATAATTTATTTTAAAAAAATTACATAAAATATTTGAAAAAAAAGGAACATTAAAGGGGAGGGAGCAGGATAGTGGGATTATTTCACATCTGGTTTTGGGACATTGCTGTGCGCAAAATGATTGCTGAGTTCACCTATAAAATACACAGGCAATATACTTTATACAGCGTATCCTGTGAAGCCTTTTTGGACATGCTCCCAATGTGAACGGTTCTAAATCAAATAATAATAATTCTTGCATTTGATATAGCACTTGATCACATCTTCAAGACTCTCAAAGCGCTTCACAGAATATATTGTAAAGTGAATTGACTGTAGGCAAAATGCAAGCACTATTATAACTATTATTTGGAGTAAAAACACTAGAGCTGGCTCGATTGGCTGAATAACTGGGCTCTACCCTTCTATGATTCATCTGCAGCTCAATTTGGACCAAGTTTGACCCATTGTGCGAATCGGATCTGGATATTTGATTAGCTTAGAATCAGCCTCTGAAGAAAATCGCACATTTTAAGAAAACATAAAATCACACTACCACTGCCCAACAAAAGAAATACACGGTTTAAAATTTTTGCTTAAACAACAATAGTACATGGTAACTCAGGAAGTGAAAAAAACTATTCTCTCTCTATCCTGCTTGTTTTAAGAAACAAAAGAAGCAGGATGGAAAGAGAATAGAGATCACAAGTGGTTTGGTTTTATTATTGTAATAATAATAACAATAATAGCAATTCCAATAAAAGGGACTGCCGGAAGCTGTGGTTGAAACAAATAACATCAATGTATTTAACAGAAAACTTGATGCATATACGAGGGAGAAGGGAATAAAGGAGCATATGAGGGGAATGGGAGGTGTGTGGGCTTGTTGGAGTATAAACACCAGTGTAGATTAGTTGGGCCAAACTGCCTGTTTCCATGCCGTATTCACTCTATGGAAGTCTAAGCTTACATGCACTGATTTCTTTAAAAATGCATTTTGAATTTTTGGCATTACTAATACAGCAACAAAAAAACAATATCCACGTAGCTTTATTACTCAACAACAACAACAAGATTGCATTTATAGAGTGCCTTTCACGTCGGGATCACTCGATTATTTCTGTTGATTTCAGAGTCACAATCGGCCTCAGCAACCTCAAATTAGGAAAAGTAAAAGCCAGATGTCTGGTGAGAACAGGATCAGGGGAAGCAGCTTCACCCCTCTCAGCTGTACACACTGCCAACACTCACCCCATCAAAATATGTAGATTGGCCATTTGGGCAATGTACAGCGTCTCAGAGCCTGACTCCGAGCCGGGGGAAGATGATTGTAAGCACGGTCGAAGAGGAAAGTTTTTAGGCAGGACTTGAAAGAGGGGAGAGAGGGGGCAAGGCGGAGGGTTTGAGGGAGAGTGTTCCAGAGTTTGGGGCGTAATGGCTGAAAGCACAACCTCCGATGGTGGGGTGGAGTGTGTGAGGGCTGAGCAGGAGGCACCCGGTGCCAGTTGAGCGGGGCGCCCTGGTGGTGGATTGGGGAGTGAGGAGGTCGGAGAGGTAGGGAGGTGCCAGGGGGTGAATGAACAAAGACAAATGCCTGCACAACATGGTAGAAAAAACCACGTTTCTCTGAAGCTTCTAGAGAAAAATATCACTGCGTTGTCAATTTATCTTCGTTCCTCCGGGTCTGGCCTCCTCCTCGTCCCCCGAATCCTCCGCTCCACCCTCGACGGCCGTGCCTTCAGCCACTATGCCCCGAGGCTCTGGAACTCACTCTTTCCTCACTCCCTTCGCCTCGCTCCCTTCCTATTTTCAGGTTTCTGCTGAAGACCTTTCTTTTTGACCACGCCTTTGGTCACCTTCCTCCCCCTGACTCGGTCCCGGAATCCGTTACTGTAAAGCACTCTGAGACGCTGTCCGGCGTGGAGAGCGCTATATAAATCCAAGTTGTTGTTATTGTTGTTATCTGTGTATATTAAATCTGCGGCTAACATTTGGCCAAAATTGCAATATTTCGGAGATTCTATCTGCGTTAATCAACTTGAGAGGATGCAGTGACAGAACACAACTGACTGTTGAGGCTTTGGATTTAAGCCAATAAAAACTTGTACTGTAGCTCCAAGGAGTAATTTCCCATCATGTTGTGCCACTGTGTCACATTGCATTGCAGTAACACCCATTTGGAACAATGTCCATCTTCACAATAATGAGCTAGTCTGTTAGCATTTTGGCAGATACTTAAGAAATACTGGGCCTGATCAATATTCACAACTTGCAGTGATTCGAGTGTAAATGCCAAAAGCCTACAGTGGCACAACAGGAAAAGCACTTGTCTATAAACCTGAAGCGACATGTTATTTAGTGCTGCCATTTAAATATGGGATTTAGAAATAATGCTGCTTGCGGTTCTGGCTCTGCAAAAGGGATTCTGCAAAAGCCTTGTTCCCACCCTTTCCCAAGTGGCCAAATTCAAGATCAGGGAAAAACCGCAATACTGATAGAAATTTGAACTTTGAAACAATGCAAGGTCTATATGCCCTAAGACATGTGGCACAAAGCCCATTTGGAGCAGTTCTTAAATTCACGTCCATTAGTATCAGACGCCTCAATGTATTAAATTGAAAAGTGAAGACTCAAATTTGGACAACTTTCATCAGCTACGATTTTAAAGCATTTTAGTGCGAAGATATATCATAGTCTCTTGAGCTTTTTTATGCAGTAAGCAGGATAATCTAAAATCAGCATATGTTTTACATGGACCAAACAATAACTTAGTTCATAACAGAAAATATATCGCAGAGCCTAGTCCTTCATCAGAACTGGAATAATTCAGATGGATAATTCACTTTAAAGGCATATGCTGGGGGAGGTGAGAATGAAAGAAGAAACGCAGATTTCTTCATGATCAAGTAGCTACATGTATAGTCAAGACAGCAGAGCTGAATCAACTCTGCGTGGTGGTCATACACCTGAACAAGGTGAGTTGCAGTATTCCAGACAGTTGATGATTATCT